ACTGTAATAGTAGTCGTATTGCTGCAGTGCATTTAAACTTAATGGTTGTTAAGGAAACTCAGGGATCTTGCATCCTTTGTTTTCCTATAGTTGAACAAAACAAGATTCAGAGTTGTGTTTTTTGGTTTGATACTAATTTTTACAGGTTAAATTCCTACATGACTTTGTGTTGTAGGTTATACATGAATTTTGGTGAAGAGAAATCTTGAGGAAATCTCCCTGTATCAGTGAGAGCACATACCTATAATTCCAGAAAGTTGAAAGCCTTGCTTCAAGCTGGGCTTGGATCATCAATGACCCCCATCCTCCTCAACCACACAGCCTTGCCGACCCCTAGACTCAGTAAGACCAGATTACTTAGAATCCACCTAGTTCAGAGTCTACTGACAGCTTTTCAAAGTATTCTTTGCTCAGTCTTGCAGAGCAATTTGTCAAAAAATACACAAACCAAATTCAATAAAAATATATTTGGATTGTCCTAAGTTTTATGCCTATTAAAATTTCTTTACTATTTATTGCTGATATATACTATATATTTATATATACTACATTAATAATATAGCATGTATCATAATATATACTATTCCATACATTATATATAATATATAACTTTATATATATTTAAATATATATTTAAGAACAATTGTCTTGTACATAAGGTTCACAATCTTCAGTGTTGATTAACCACCTTAATAATGATGATGCATGACATCTCTAGGGAAACTCTTTGTATACGCTTCCAAGTCTATAGAACCTTCGAAACTTCTGACTTGGCTAATCACACACTTGTAGACAGTTGCATGTGTTTGGAACTTCGTATAAATGGAGTCACACAATATATACTTTTTTTTTGTATGTGGCTTCTTTATTCCCACGGTATGATAGTCGTCCACAATGCCTGTACATATTAGTGGCTTGCATATTTGTGGCTGTATCTAACTCACTTTTATGAATTTACTATGCTTTTTCCCCCTGATTTTCCCTGCTGTTGGACTTATAGGCTGTTGCTATCCTGAGGTGCTATATAAGGAAGTAACACTGTCCACTCTAGAGCAAGCAACTAAGAGTAGAGTTTGTGTCTTTTACTTTACTGGGTTTTTATGTGTCTTCCTTCTTAGCTGTAGGACAATAGTCTAGCCTTTGTAAGTCTACAAAAGAAAACAAAACACTATGTGCCTTTAAGCCTGAGTGAGTGGCAGATCCCACAGCTCTCGGTTGTCCACTAGCATAGAAATATCTCCCAAGGCTCATTCTCCAGGGAACTTTGAACCTAACTTGTCCTCTCTAGTTTCCTGTGGTTAGATTTCTACAATTCACCCCCCCCCCATTGAAATAATTTAACAAATTAAAACTTCCATATGCAAACTAAGGAATTTCAGATTTGATTTTTCTGAAAGATTATAGAAGAATGGAAATGCTCTACCCAGCCTCATTCCCACAACATAGCCTGAACCAAAGCGGGAAACACCTGAAGGACAGCAAATGCATTCAGCTCCATGGTAGTAAAATCAAATCAATAAACAACATGGGAGTTTTCATTTGCTATCTATGTAAATATTTAAAATTGTCAACATATCAAATACTGGTAATGGAGAGGAAAAAGAGAGGGGTCTTTCATATATTGTTAGGATCTGTGTATAAATTATATGTCATATTATCAGCCATTTGAGATGCAGTAGGACTGTGAGAAGTCATATTCAGGGATTCAAAGGTTCCACTTACTAGCATGTCCTAGAGAAATTCTCCTTAATATCACCAGTATGGAGAAGCATCTGTAATTCTTTAATTCATGTAAGACAATGCTTTGCAATGTCACGATGGAGAATGGGAAAGTGGATGAATGCCCAGACTAAATAAATTTAATGCAGTTAGCCTTATGTGTGTGTACAACCTGCATGTGGGCAGCCACAGGTTTCTCCTTCCTCAGCTAGAGTCTGTCGACTAGATCATGTCTATGCTTCATTCAGAGATGGTGTTAAATCAGCAATACCCATGTATTTAGTTATTTGTTTGTTTGGTAAACAGATGGAACGCAGTAATGGAAGCAATGCCAAACACTGCAGAAAAGTGTAAGATGATTTTTAAGAAACCTCTTCCCTAACAGTCTATAAAATATTGTTCTTCCAGTTTCCTTGGCCATGGAGGTATTGTGGTAGTTCTCTTATCTTCAGATAGCAATGAGCACTCCAGGTGTAAAGGAGCAGCATCCTCACAATCCTAGGAATTCATTCTTGAAAACTCCATCAGTGATTCTGACGGACTCTCAGATTTGGAGATATATGCCCACACCAAAAATTTTCTGATATATCTTCCAGTGAAATCTATCCTGTATATGCCAAGAATCATCTAGCTTAATTTTGCAGGTTGCTATCAGCGTGATTCCTTAACATAATGATGATGGTTTGTTTTGATTCTATTCATCCATTCCTTTTCCTTCCAGCTTCACTTACCAAATTTTTTGAGACTTTTCCACATACATAGTAAAATTTTACTGATTAGAAGACTTTATTAATAAGCTATTAACAAACTATTAACAATCTGATTACTTTGTGGGTGAACCCCAGAAGCCTATACACAATAAATATTTGGCTAGCTAAATATGCTACGTTTACCAGCCAATATAATGCTTTATTTCAAGATGTAAATTCCTACATCTGTATCAAATAACATGAAGCCTTTCGGTCCTTTATAAACTACCTAGGAAAATTTCCTAAGTATGACAAGCTTTCAAATAAAATTTATATATATAATTTTATACCCATGTCTACTGTCATCTATGCAATTCAGTTCAATCCTATTATTAAAACAAATGAATATTTGACACAAAGAAAATTGCTACCATCAATCTCTGAAGGAGAAATGTACTTGAATTAATTGTCTAGTCCAGATTATAGTGAAGATCAATAAACTACTTTCCAAGTTCTTTACTACCCAAACCATAGGATGGCAAAAAAAAACAAAAAGGAAGCAGAAAATGAAAATGAGTAAAATAAACCTAGATGCAGCTGGTGTGGTTAAAACGAAAGACATTGGGGAGAAAAGCAAGATGTAGTTTGCTACGCTAAAGACTGGGAACTAAGAAAACACACAGTTTAAAACAGTACCTAAGCCATGAAAACAATGGTTACCCAACAACTCGATTTTGATCCTCCATAATCCTAAAGATAAATTCTACTACTTATAAAAAGTTCCTATTTGAAGCAACAGCCATGTAGCCGCCCTCTGACTTCTCAGTCCTTAATACATCTAAAGTGATGGGAATTAATTTGCGTTAGTCGCACTTTTCAAGGAGACTATATAAATTTGCATAAATGTGTGTGCATGTGAATGTGTGCACATCTGTGCGTGTGTATGTGTGCATGTATGTCTGTGCGTGCGTGCGTGCGTGCGTGCGTGCGTGTGTGTGTGTGTGTGTGTGTGTGTGATGTCAAAGGGCAGCTTGTACCTTACTGCACTTAAGTGCACCAGGAGAGATGTCCCACCTGATCACTCTTGCCTTGGTAAACTCGTTTTGTCCACAAACTTGGTTTCAGGCGCCCACCATGAGCCACACACGTTTCCCTGCTCCCTGTTCTTCCCCAGAACTGTATATTTCTTAGCTTTCCTTCTAGGGTCTGCAATGATCCCTGGGCCCAGTGGCTTCTTTGTTTGGTCTCCAGGTGCTTCAGGGAGTGTGTTCGCTCCTTCTTCCTGTAGCTCTGACACCTGAACTTAGAACTTTGCACACACCTCTAGTCTACATTGCTGGCCTCCCTCTTCTTTTAAGCCAGTTTACACAAGGTTAATCCTGTTTGCTCAAAGGAGTTCTGACACCGTCTAAAAGGCAATGTGTCCGTAACTATTTCTACATCATCTATTTAACTTAATATCTGGTTGATTCAGCAGATCTCTCTCTCTCTCTCTCTCTCTCTCTCTCTCTCTCTCTCTCTCTCT